CAGTTAAATGCCACATTTAACAGCTCCAGTGGTCAGTGGGGACTGCTCCCACCAGTTACCCATCACCTCCCTACTTGGGAAATAGTAGCCTGCATTAGAGAGAAATGTTACATGCTTTTGGTCAAAAATAAATGAATTAAAGCTGTGCAGGATCATTGCTTTTATATAGCCACCTGACAGCAGTTGCAGATCCAAAAGTCCCGTGAGCTTGCCAATTCACATAACAAAGGATGGGTTTACAGGCTCTGCTACAGGATACATACATGCCTTTCCCGATTCTGGTTGCTTCCTACATCTGTCTTCTTTCTGTATTTTTCTGACCTAAGTCCTCTTCCATATCCTAAATCTCTACCAAACACTGGGTAAGGTATCTGGTGGCACTGGTAGGTTCAGATGAAATGGCGAGTATGTTAGATGTAATTAGTCTACTGAAAGTGGCAGGCTCCAGCTCCATAACCCTTTTTTTATAATCCTTTAATACATATGGAGCTAGAGGAAAGAAGAACTAGATGCATGCAGCCTCTCACGTGACAGACTCTAGGACAGATCAGTTGCTCAAACTACACTCTGGGGCCTTCCAAGATAGAGAATAAAACCTCTAAAGGATGGCCCTATCTGCTCCTCTTAGGGTGTGTCTAGACTACTGAGTTTTGTTGACAAAACTATACCTGCATCTACACTACCGCTGAGGTCTGTCGACATAACGTAGACAGAACTCAGCAGTTTTGTCGACGCTGGTAAACCTCATTTTACGAGGCATAACACCTTCTGTCGACAGAAGGTGTTATTGCCTGTAGGGTTGCGTCTAGACTACACTGCCATGTCGACAAAGCAGCTTGCTTTGTTGACAGAACTGAATGTGTCTAGACGCTCTTTGTCGACAGATACTGTCGACAAAACCCGGTAGTCTAGACGTACCCTTAGTGTCCCTCAGATCATTTCTCCAGTTCGTCTAGCTCGTTTTGAATTATAATCCTATGCTCTAAATTACTGGCAACCTCTCCCAACTTCTTATCAGCAAATTTATAAGCATGCTTACTGTGCCATTATCTAAATCAGTGATGAGGCCAGAACTGATCCCTGCAGAACTTATATCCTTCAAGCATGACTGTGAACCATTCATAATTAACTCTTTGGGAACTATTATCCAACCATTTATGTACCCACCTTACAATAGCTCCATCTAGATTGTATTTCACTAGTTTAATGAGAAGGTAATGTATCAAACCTTACTAAAGTCTTGATATACCACAGCGACTTCTTTAGACAGGTCATGTACAATGTTCCAATTTTTTCGATTCACGTGTGGAATAAATTTCATGTGCATCAAAGCATGTGCACCACCAGGAGAAACACAAACCTCTCTGTGGGTACTCTGTTAATCAGCTGGACAGCATTTCAAAATAGGCTTTCTCGAAATAAGCTATGCAATAAGCTGTGTAGATGTACCCTGTGAGCTCATTTACTCCAGCTAAATGAATGCTCATTTTGCAGTCAAAGTTGCTTTCATGATCTATTCACCCATCTTGAATGTAGTTGGAGAGATGAGTCTGGGTTTAGTGCACAGTTCTCGAGACAACATGCCGCATCTCCAGTCACTAAGGTTTCACAGAGCCAGACTGTCTTGTGGACACTGGGATCACTGCAGCTTGCAAGGTGTGAGGCATCCAGCTGTAGACACTATTTTTCTGTAACATCTTGATTTTGCTTTTATCAATATACAGGGCACAGCAATTTCTGTGACATCCAATTGATATGAAATGAAAGATGGACCGTTTTTGTCACACTGTGGCTGCTTTCCCTCATTCTATGCAATCATTGAACACCTGCTTCCCGCATATTATCTTAACTTGAATTTTGGCAAATACAAAAATTACAGGAAAATGGAGTATCTTTCTTGAGACTTACCACCAGTTCCATGATTTACCTACAGTAACCACCATGACTGTCAAAATCTACCACCTCCATAGAAGAATTAGAAAGGACCTCAATAAGTCATTTAGTCCTATATTTAGTGCATGGGACTGAACTAAATAATTATACCATTTCTCACATGTCTAACCTATTCTTAAAATCCTCCACTGATGAAAATTCCACACCTCTGTAGGCAATTTATTCCACTGTTTTAACTATCCTGACAGTTAGGAAGTTCTTCCTAATATCCAATCTAAACCACCTTCACTGCAATTTAAGCCCCTTGTTGTCTCATCTTCAGAACTTAACGAGGACAATTTTTCTCTCTACCTCCTTGTAACAACCTTTTATGTACTTAAAAACTGTTATATCCCTTCTCAGTCTTCACTTCTCCAGACTAAAAAAAACCTCATTTTTTCAATCTTCCCTCATGTTTTTAAAAGTGTGTATCATTTTTGTTGCTCTTCTCTGAACTTTCCTGATATGTGATGCCCAGAACTAGACACAATACTCCTGTGGAGGCCTTACAGTTGATTTCCCTAGCTATAATACAAGAACAAACCCCAAAAATAAAAATCCACCACTTCTATGTACTATATAACAAATAATAAGCATGCAGGAAAATAACTTCAGATTAATGTATTTCTAATCTGTTATATGGATGAATAAATGATATGAAAATATTAATATCAAGGTCAGTAGGGTTTAAAACCATGATGTGCCTTCTGTCCTTAATAAACTGAAAAGGAATTATACTAAACAGTTTGATATTGCTGATAAGTTCATGCACATACTATTAGTACATTAAACATTTCTGGTGAATTTTGATATCCATACTAATTTGCAAGTTTAGAGCCTAAACATCAAAACTCATCTTTGTAACTACCATTTTCAAAATCAGATTCAAATTGTTAGATACCATTTTCTTACATGGACTAGACAGAAATCTCAGAATCAGTCCATCAGTGGCTGAGAAGTATTTTTTTTTTAAATATAGGTCACTAAGGCAGAACAGTCCAAAGTGTTGGCCACGTGAAGGACTAAACATCAAGAAAACGTGAGGCAGAGCCAGATCCTCTGATTGTTTAGAAACTGATTTACTTGTGTTAGTGCAAAACCCTTGTGTGGATACTTACTTGAGCTTCAGAAGACCTTGTTTTGATTTCGGTTTATACTGAAAAGCTAAAACAAAATAGGGCACTGTTTATCCAAAATAAGTGTGTCCACACAGTTTGCTCATACTGTATACTGACAAGTCCTTTGCAAATAAAACCTTCAAAATATGACCAATCATAACCAAAGTGTAATCAATAGAGACCACTGTCTGAATTTGCAGCAGTCTTGAACCAATAACATGGAGGCTTTACTTAGTCCATTCATCTCAAGGGAGTACTAACTCAGATGACAGTGAAGTTACTTTAAATGTCATCTTTAATTAGTTCATTGTTTATCAAATCATGTAAAAAAGGAACATAAGGGTGATATTGCTCACGTTTTCATAATGTACTCTGTGTAACCAAGATGGCAGGGGAAGCATGATTCAGCACCCTTTCAGCAAATGCAGCCAGATTTCAAAAGTCTGGGAAATCCTGAGCTAAACAATGTTCTTCATCAATTTAAATGTAATAATTTCTGAAAGGTTTTTTTTTAAAAAAATCTTCAGGTATTTTGTTGTCTCTCACCCACCTTTTCTCCTAGTCTCTGTAAGACCCACTGACCTATCATTAGTACTTTGCTGAGAGTGATTACTTTCCACTTCTAGTGTAAAAGCTATTTTTTTCCCTTACAGATGAATTTCCCAATTGTGCACTACTTAGATATTGAACTACTAGTCTATAAGGATGTGGCTTTGAAAAATCTGCGTATATGTACACCTACATGGAAAAATATAAAATGGGCTAAATGCAGAACTGAGGCACAAAACAGAGGTCATGTTACATGCCTGGACTGAACTGGATATGTTTCTCTCTCTCCATCTATCCTTGACCATTTTCATCCTGTATTGAGTTCACTGACCAGTCTCATTAGTCTAGCAAATGGCCTGTATGTTTTACTGCCTGGGGACTGTTATTAATTACACTCACCCAGGCAAAATGAAGTCAGAGGCCAGGATTCTTTTAGCATCCCAAGTGGTTTGAGACAGTCTGTCCCTTGACTGCAGTCTTTTTAGTTAGCTGAAAAGTTGCAAACTTGTTATCTTTCAACTACTGCCCACTGGGAAGAGCATAAAACTTTTTCCAGTAACCAGCCTGCTTTTCAAGAGCTGTAGTGGTTTGGAAAAGAACTTCAATAAAATTGCTTCAGTGATGAATATTTTAAAACAAATTAAACATTTTTGTGAGCACTCCAGTACTAATTATGGTTTTCCAAGCCCTGGTTAAAATGAGTAACTGCCTTTCTCTGTGGTGTAGCTACTTGTGGCTGCACCAAGGCAGGAAGCTATGTGTGGACAATAAATATAAAAAAATATACACATACAAATAAAATTGAACTTCAACAAAGGCTGAAGTTGAGTTTAAGAATTGCCCAAAGAGGCATGACAGTTAACTATCCCTTTAAAAAAAAAAAAAAAAAAGTTCCAACCAAATTTGCAAAGCGTAAACAATTACAGGTCCACTTAAGTCCCCAGGCACTACTGGTGCTCAGAACCTTAGAAAAAATCACTTAGGGATAATATTTTTCAGAAGCACCTAGCTGCCCTAAGTCTACCTGTCTAGACTGGCGCAATCCTCCGGAATAAAGTATTTGCGCAAGAGAGTGTCTACACTGGCATGTGCCTTTGCTCAAGAGATGTGCTTTTGCTCAAGAGCATCCGTGCCAGTGTAGATGCTCTCTTGTGCAAGAAAGCTCTGCTGGCCATTTTATCCATCGGGCTTTCTTGCGCAAGAAATTCATGTTGCCTGTCTACACTGGCCTCTTGTGCAAGAACAGTTGCACAAGAGGGCTTATTCCTGAGCAGGAGCATCATAGTTCTTGCGCAAGAAGCACTGATTTCACACATTAGAACATCAGTGTTCTTGCGCAAGAACTCCCTGCCAGTGTAGACAGGCAGCAAGTTTTTGCGCAAAAGCGGCCCCTTTGGTGTAAGATTGTGCCAATGTAGACACAGCCTCAATGTTCAACAAGAATAGCTGCAGTGTGTAAATGTCAATGGCCTATTCCAGCACAAGTGAGGGCACAAACATTACTTGCCGGGATGGTCACATCCAAACATCAGTGCCCCAACAGTTTAATTGAACAGCATTGACCAGAGCAAGTAAAATAGAGTAAAGCAGCAATGCTACAGAGAGCGCACAGCTAAACTTTAAGTTATTTTAGCTTAATTAAGATTTTACCCTATTTTAGGAGTTTCTTACCCAGATTGTACGCTAGTTATGATTTTATAATTCTAACCATTAATTTACTTGGATTTTTCATAATAAAATATCACTCCTTTTAAGACACATTAATCCTCTTAGATTGTTATTAGTACAATCCCGACACACCATATTTCTATCTAGGAACTTTCATGGCTCCAATACAGTACTATCTGAAACACTAATACACTTATTCTCCCCATACTCCTATGAGGGGTTTAGCATGGGTACCATAACAGAGTTATAATACAGGTTTACATTAGGGATGTGAAGGACTAGTCGACTATCGGTTAAGCACATTTTCAGATAATTGGTGTGATAGTTGACTAGTCGCTTCCCCCACCCTGTTGCTTGTATCAGAAAGAGGCAGCGAGGTGGGGGTACTGCAAAGCGGCAGCGCTGTGTGGAGCCTGGGGTCAGGAGGGGTGTTCCCAGCTCACGCTGGGTTCCACATGGTGCTTTTGCCTTTAGCAGCAACCCGAGGGTTTTAACAACTAAACAATGTTACACCATAATTAGGATAAAACCATATATATTATTACTCCACTGAGCCCCAGACCCAGTACATTAACCACATTGCAATCTATCAGCCCTATGAAAACTGTGAGCTCTACTATGGAGGGAATTTTAGCATAGACAAGGCCTTAAGGTTAGAAGGGAAGAATAAAAAGAAAAGCATCCACCAGGAGAGTGTATAAACTTGTAAATTAAAGTAGGCCACATCTTTTAACTTATACCTTTTTCTGGTCCTCAGCATGTATGTTACATCAATTTAGATCTCCCTGTGTTTCCTTAAGAGGATGTCAAGGACTCATACAGCATAACAGACTTTAACTTACATTGCTATATTAAAGCCATTTAGTACATGTTACAATTCAAAAGCAGTCTGTCTCCCCCACGCATACCCCACTATAAAAATAAAGAGACATTAAATACAACACAAAGATTGAGGAATTAAACTCTTATAAGCAGGAAATTCCAAAACTAGAGGTTTCTACAGTAATATTAACTTTGTTGCACTGCGTATCCTGCTCATGTAATAATACAGATCAAACAGAGTTATACACTGAGGTAACAAGGAAACATGAATAGAAAATGCTACATATGTACAATCTGGCAGAATTTTATGTAAATGTAGAAACTTTAACTTCTGATATTTGCTGACACTTCAAGACTTGATTTTTCAACCTTAACAATACATTATTGCTAGTTTTTGTATCATGTAGCTTTTGTAAATAAATATCTAGCTTTGAAGAAAAGCCTCAACAAGGATATAAGAGTTTCAGAGAAAATCAAGTTTGGAGATAACATTTTCAGAAATACCTTAAGGCCAGATGTTCAAAGGCATTTAGGTCTCTAAAGATGCAGATAGATGCTAAGTGGGATTTTGAAAGCATCTAGGTGTCTAAATCCCACATGATTTTATAATGTGCATTTCATTTTATAGGCTAACATTGCTCAGTCCAATCCTTTCTCCTCTGATTATTTTAGCAAGTCTAGGACATCATTATGTCCTCTCCTGCCACATGAAAACAAATTCCCACCCAGAAGATGATTAGCTCTTTCTTGTGTTATAGCCAAAACTCATGTAAAGCCAATTCAGGAATTTTAACCTGGCTGCATGATTAGGAAAATGAGATCTCTCACATCACACAATTGATATACTGAGGATCAGAGACAATACTAAAACACCACGTGCAATGTAGCAGCTGGTATATATTCAAAACTGAAATTCCAATAGTAGTATGCTATATAATCGCTGGATAAATATTTATGCTTGTGAAGGTTAAGAGATTCGGAGCACTATAAGCCCAAGTATTTCACATAGGCAAATGCAATTTAAGACTCCTCATAGTGACCCACCAGTGACCTCTATCCCTGTCTGGAGGCAGTAAAATCCCTAGAGGGAAAAAGTCAGAGTGAATCACAGGCCTCTGCTGAGCATTCAAACAGCACATAACACACATTAAATGTTAATAAAACCCAACTACATACCTCAAAATTGCTTTTGATCTTTAATGGTATTTGACATTGCTTAAGACTCCTCCCTTGATGTAATTTCATTCACAAACATCAACCCGTCATCTTACACATTCAGCACAGGAAAGATGACAAAAGCAGCTAGAACAAGGGGTGGACAATAATTTTTGATAGAGGGCCCACTCCATGATTTTGGAAAGTGGTCAAGGGCCACACTGCTTTGTGGAGGGGGTGTGGAGTTTGGGACAGAACTCGAGTGCAGAAGGGAACTTGGACAGAGGACTGAGGTGCAAGAGAGAGTGTGGGGTCTGAGAAGTATATAGGTGAAGAAGGGGATTGTGACGTAGGGTCCAGGAGAGAGTAGAGGTGCAGGAGCGAATTTTGACCTGGGAGAGGTGGTGGAAGAGGGGGTGTAGCAGGGGCTGAAGGGTTTAGGAGGGAATTGTGACCTGAGGCAGGATGTGTGCAGAGGATTTGGATGGTGACCTAGGGCAGGGAGTTGGGAAATGGGAAAGGTTGGGGGTGACGGAGGCAGTCTCTGGCTGGGAGTCACTTACCTTAGGTGGCTCCCAGCCAGCAGCCGAATAGGGTCCCTGAGGCAGGCTCGGTCCTGCAGCAGTCCCAGGCTTCCCCCACCCCCAGGCCAATCATCGCAACTGGGAGTAGGGCCTGGGGGATAGAGGAGCACGAAAACTTTCTCAACCCCTGCCAGGGTTGCGCAGCAACTAGAGAGAACCACCAGCCATTTTGAAGTTTGTTGTACTGTGCACCACTGGGGGGGAAGGGAGAATTCACACACTCTCCTGCCCCAAGGCCAATTGAGGCCTGAAGGTGGGGAAACATATGAAGTCTTTTGCCCCACCTCCCTCCGCCAGAGGCGCATCTTGCTGCTCAAAACAGCTGGTGTCTTCCCTGTAAGCACTGCAAGCCCTGGCAGGGGGAGCTGTCAGCCATTCTGAACAGACCAAGAAGAGAGAGTTACTCACCTTGTGCAGTAACAAGGGTTCTTTGAGATGTGTCCCCTTATAGGTGCTCCACTTTAGGTGCTGGCGCATCCTTGTGCCAGTGGTTGGAGATTTTTCCTAGCAGTGCCCTGCTGCACCATGCATGTGCAGTAGTGTCCCCTCATACCATTAGTGTCTGTTGATTGCGTGCGCAGCACCTCTGTTCCTTCTCTACCTTGGATATAGCCCCAAAGAGGCTCCAAAGTAGGGAAGGAGGGAGGGAGGGTAGTGGAGCACCTATGGGGATACACATCTTGAAGAATCCTTGTTACTGCACAAGGTGAATAACTTTCTTTGAGTGCTGTCCCTGTGGATGCTCCACTTTAGGTGTTTAAAGAGCAATGTCCATCTCGTGGAGGCAGGTTTTGGAGCTGTGTCCTGGAGACAGTGGAGAGGACAGTGTGTCCCACTGATATAGTTGGGATTAAACCAGATATCAAAGCGCAGTATCTGACGAATGTGTGTTTAAAGGATCAGGTTGCTGCTCTGCAGATTTCCCCGGGTGGGACATTATTAAGGAAGGCTGTGGTCGATGCCACTGCCCTGATGGAGTGAACCGTAATAACAGGTGGTGATTGCGTGTTATCGATAGTATAACAGATATAGATGCAAGAGGAGGTCCATTTCAATACTTGTGAGGAGATAGCTTGTCCTTTTGATCATTTCACAAAAGAGATGAAGAGTCTTGTGCACTTCCTCCAGGACTTGATCTTGTCGAGGTAGAAAGTGATTGCGCATTGGACATTGAGGGTATGTACTATTGCTTGGATCACGTCATTGTGCGGCTTTAGAAAGAATACAGGAAGTGGATTGGTTCATTAATATGGAAGGGTGTAGGGACTGTTGTGAGGAATTTTGAGTGGGGTTTGAGTATAACCTTGACCTTGCTGAAAGTTGTGTAAGGAGGGTATGCCATCAAAGCTGCTCTCTCGCCAACCCACCTGCTGGAGGCGATCACTACGAGAAAGACTACTTTCATAGAGAGATGACGCCACAAGCATGTGGAGAGTGGCTCAAAATGAAACTTTATGAGGTTCTTAAAGACATGGTTGAGGTTCCACAAAGGGGTGGATGGTCTTAATGTGAGAAACGTGCTTTGCAAGCCCCCCCGGAAACATTTGGTCATAGGGTGTAAAAAGAGGGAAACCCCATCCAGCGGTTCATGAAATGCTGCAGTTGCCACTGTGTGGACTTCTACTGAGCTGAGAGAGAGACGCCATCTCCTGTAGTTCAAGGAGACAATCCAGTATCATTGGTAGGGAAGTGGTGGAGGATGGGATGATGTTGTGTTTTTGCTGATCCACGTGGAGAACCTCTTCCACTTATAAGTATAGGTTTTTCTGGTAGAGGCTCATCGACTGTTAATTAGTATTTGTTTTACCCTGTCAGAACAGGAAGTTTCGGCATCATGGAGCCATGAAGGAGCCAGGCCTTGAGGAGAGGTATTACTGGGTTTAGATGGAGATTATGGCCATGATGCTGGGATAGAAGGTTGTGACGTAGTGGGAACACATGGGGAACAGAGATTGTCGGTCGTTGAAGGCACGGGAACAAGGTCTGCCTGGATCACATTGATGTGGGTATGGAGGTGGTGGGGATGGCTAGTGGTGTCCATACCAGTGCAAGGAAAGAGGCACATGGGTGGATCTGGTTGAGCACGACTCCCAGGGAGGTTGTCTCTAAATTGAGGAGTCGTCCTGGGATGAGAATCTACTCTGTGGTCCCATATCCGCCTCCCTAAATGTTGTGGATGGTGCTGTGGTTCCGAGGAAATAAACTGAATGTGCTGATGATGCTGGTGAATGCAGCACTGACCATGCAGTCCATCTTGGTTTGTTCACTCGGTGCACTTTTGTGCAGTGCCTTTCTGGTAGATGCCAATGGTGGTGCCGGGGGCAGCGTTGATGTCAATGACTTTAAAGGTGGCATGTCAGCACAGGGAGGCTTCAGTGCCAGTTTAAGCTCTGTCTTCGATGCCCTGTAAGGCACTGGCGCCATCAGTGATGTCAGGGCTGAGGACTTGTGCCTTGGTTCAGAATGCACGCATATGTGTGACGCAGTATCTTTTGCTGGCGAGGTGCTGGGCTTATCAGTGGTACTAGCTCTAGAAGAGCTCCGTGTAGTCAAGGATCTGGCCAGGGATGTCCTGGCCTTTCCCTTCACCTTGTCTGCATAGAAGGTGGGACACTTCTTCACCAAAGCTGAAGTATTCCCTCTGTCTTGGGTCTTCGCTGAGGAGGGAGAGTCCTCTCGAGTTGGTTGAAGAGACCTTTCGTATAGGAAGGTCTTCAGACGGTTTCCTCAGTCTCGTCTTGCCCATGCTGTATGATTGGAACAGTGCGGGCACATCTGGAAGAGATGGCCTTTTCCCAGGCATTTTATACAGGAGGAGTGACTGTTAGAGATGGGCAAGGGGTCTCTGCAGGAGTAACACCTCTTGAATCCTGGAGAACAAGGCATGCTGAACTGGGGGAGAATGGTGGGAAACAAACTTAAAAAAAATTGTAAGAAAAAATGGGAAAACGGATCAAGGTGAAAACTGAAGAACTTTCTGAATTGTTTGTCATTTTAGGTCAAAAGAGGGCAACTGTGGGGAGGTATGTTTGCTCCTGAGGACAGTAGAGAAGGAATTGAGGCGCCATGTGAACAATCAATGGACACTAATGGCACAAGGGAACACTACTGCATGGGCAAGGCAGGGCACTCCTAGAAAAAATCTCCGATCACAGGCATGAAGACGCACCAGCAGCTGAAGTGGAAAACTCACATGGGCAGTACGCCCTGCCTTAGTTAGGGATGTAAAACAGCAGTTAAACAGTTAATTGGTTAAACAAAATATTTAACTGTGATCCTGGGGTGCCCAGCCCAGGTCCTACCTGGGGCATAGGATTGGGGCTGCCACATGGCATGGCCAGAGTCCTCCTACCCCCATGTGGGGCAGAGCTACAGCTCTGTGCGGCCAAGCCAGGGTCCCATTGGCTCCACCTGGACTGCAGTGGGGCTGTGCTGGAATTCCCCTGCCCCCACCAAGGCTGGGGCTGCTGCTTCAGTGGCCGGCTCAGGTCCCTCTGCCTTGGCCTGGAGCTGGGGCTGTCACCGTCACCACAGCTGCTGCAGTCCCTGGCCCAGTTAACCAGTTATCCACCTGGTAAGCCTAAGGCTTAGCAGGTAACCAGTTAACCATTTACATCCCTAGGCCGACTAGTTAAAGCATGGTACTTTGAGTTAGGTTGTGTTAGTTTTTTTTCTTAGGGGAATAGTAATGGATTAGGAATAACTCAATGCTAGATAGAGGAGAGCAAGTTAGCAAAATGACATGTGGCTAATTTTAACCCAAACACCAAACCACGTATTCCCACAAATTTTTAGATACTGAAATGAAACAGAATAACGACAGCCTTGTGTCTTTTACTGAACTAATAGGACATAGATTCAGCCTTTCCAGTATGAACTGTCCAGGATCAGTGCACTTTTGATTGTTTATTTGACAATATTAAATATTTGCTCTAAAACTGTGTACTGACGTTGCTGCCTGAAAAGGCATAATATATTTCTAGGCCATCTCATCTGTCATTCCTGGTAGCTATTTTCAATACCTGTTGTTATTTCTGGAGCAAGAACATTATCAACAAGTTTATGGCTTTGCTAATGCCACACTGAGGAGTATTTTATTTTAACTGGCATTTTATATCTTAACGCATGGCTTTGTGACAAGATACATTTCAGTGTAAGGAACTCATTAATAATACTTTAATCCACAGGAGCCTTAGCTTTTATTTTGATTTGCTTGACACTGGTGGATTTCTTTTCTTGAATTGTCCTCTCTGAACTTGCCGAGCACGAGTTCCAAATCCCAAGGATTGCAGCGATTCTGTTAAGTACTTCTGGCAGGGGGAGACGCACAGCATCACCAACAATTTAGCATCGCCCCCTAGAAACAATAAAAAAACGGACACCCACAAACGTACTTATTTTCAATAAATCTGCTGAACTGCACAGAAACCCCAGTAGGTTGTTGTCAATTCTATGAATCAGCACTACACAAACAGAACTGTTGAAAGCATGTGAGCCATTACAATAAAGCCATATGGAATTGTTTCATTTAGCTGGTTGATCATTTTAGGGATATAAAATCTTGGTTAATTGGTTAGACCTTAGGTCTAACTAGTTAATCGATTAAGTGAGATGCCCCTCTGCATGGGGCTGCCGCTGCTGCTCCTACCAACCTGCACAGGTTGGGGGGAGCCGCTCCCAGGTACCAGTTAACTGGCAAGCATCACCTGGTAAGGGTGATGCTTCCCAGGTAACTGGTCAACCATTCACCTCTCTACATCATTTATTGTCATTTTTCACAATTTGCAATATAGAACTTTTTGTGCCTTTCATTATGGATATAATTTGGGGTTATACATTTTGGGTATAATTGCTTTGTTGTATTTGTAAAATCAGTATATCTAAAAGCTTCATTTGTATCTAAGTATTGCAAGAAAGGAAGATTTAACAATTAAGGGCTAATGGTGAAAGCTTAAGGACATTCCTGAAATCGTGCATAACAACAACTGACATGACTGGTAGTGTCACAGGATGGAAACTCTAGCTCAAAGGTTAGGTAACATGTCCGAAATTCTACAACATGTAAATAATAAAACTTGCATTAAAGCCCACATCTTTTGACTCACTTGCCTAAACAGATCCCTTCATCACTCTCTGTCTCACGTTTCAGAATTTGAAAATAGGCACATTTTATCCCATTCAAAAAATTGCAACAGATATTTTGCCTTTCACATGATATACCGATTTGCCAAAGTTGTGCTGCAAGAAGAGGTGGATTTAGAATTCAGGGGCAAAAAATACAATATCCTCTTGGAAAATCATTTCATATTATAGATACTATACTTGAGATTGAACTAGACAGCTCAAAAGCTAAAAGCATAAGCTACTACAGCCTGATCCTATAACCCTTAGATAGGGAGAATAATAAAATAATATGCTTTGTGGGTAGGACACAGAACAAACCTGTAGAATACACTCATCAGTGGGTTACACTGATATTTGCTATTGCTACCATACATTTGGATGAAATGTTAAGAGTACAACAGCCCATCCAAACACCAAAAGGAGTTGCAATGCCTAAGTCGATGCCCAGGTATCTCCATGCATTGTTTTGGCATTATGCATTCTGGGTAGGGACGTCATCATGTAGATGACTACACAATTAACCAATAAGCCTAGGCTTATTGATTAATCTTGCCAACTACACGCATTTCCCCCCTTGCTGCCTCTGTTTTCGGGGGTGGGGGAAGGGAGCGTGAGTAGGAACCTGTGCCCATGAGAAGCTGGCTTAAAAGCTAGCTCCCAACAAGCACTGGATCTGCCTGCACCCCTCCCCACTGCACTGATAGAGAGGCAGCAGTGAAGAGGGTAAGGGAGGTAGGCTGGAGCGGATACACATGGGTAGCTAGCTTTGTGGACCAGCATGTCATCGTCCCCACCTTGCTGTTTTGTGTAGAGCAGGGCGGCAGGCAGCCCATCCATGAGGGCAGCATGTTTTTCAACTGGTTCCCCTTGCAGACCAGCTCCTCCTGCCACCCCCATGGCTGCCTCTGATGGAGAGGCAGCAGCGTAGGGAGGCAGGAAGCTCCCCAGGAGTGGGGCAAGAGGGCCCAGGCTGCCAGCCCCACACGTGGGGACTACCGAGTTGTTTAACCATTAAGATTTCATGCGGTTACATGTCTATTCAGTTACATGATATCTAACATCCCTAATTCTGGGTAAAGAGAACACCCATGAAATCTGCAAATTTCTCAGACATAGTGTATCAACAAAACCCAGGAAGAGTTAAACTTAACTTTTACAAATCACAAGGTATTAAACCTTAAATTAATTAATTAAGCCCCACAACATCTTCCAAGATAGGTCGCTGTTGTTATCTCAATTTACCAATGAAAATAACAAGACTCAGGAAAGTTAAGTGACTTCAGCAAAAAAGTGAGAAGAGAATCCAGAGCCAAACCCCAGAGTTCTGACTCCTAGTGCCTTGCTATAGCCTCCCACACAAAACTGTTCCACACCACATGCTTAGAACCATTGTTCTACCATGCTACACAACATCAATGGGAAAAGATCAGCACACGCACACAACAACAACAACTGTTTTCCTAACAAAATGTGAAGAAAAGTTCGGAAGAAAAAATTCAATTCAGCTTTGTTACATAAAAAGGCAAAGAAAATTACCTATGGAATCCTGGAGTAGGTGAGTAAGTTTGCTGTTTCTATATGGCACGTGAGAGCGCTGCTCTGCTAGTGCTCCAAGTACATCTGATAGAGCAGATAAGCTACGATTTATGAACGAGGTCTCTCTCAGCGCTGTGCCTGTCACCCCAGACATACCTAATGCAATAAAAGGAAACAACAGCTAAGAATATGCAAAGCTTGTCATCTTCAGGCTAAGCTCAAGGAACAAAAGCTTTATGCATGGCATAGCACTTGGACCTGAAGTGTAATTTTTGTTTGTTTTAACAACATGTTTAAAAGACAAGTTATAAATATGATTTACTATCTCTCTTTGGTACTGCTATGCCCCCCATATCTGAGCACCTCATAATCTTTGAAGTATTTAACTAAAGTGTATTTCGCAAAAAATATCCAATATCCATGCTCTCTATATACGTTTAAAAAGTCAGAATACATTATATTATATGTTTTTTCTAACTTCACTCCTTCACATAAAATGTGAAAATACAAGAGAAAGCCACTCTTTCTGTTATTAATACCACGTATGACAAATACAAAAATAATAATATTTTTTACATCATTGACAAAATTGTTATGAAGTCAAGTCAATATATTTCTGACACACACATTAATATATGAATAAGTTACAAAGTTTTACCTACACAGGATTTGTTAGGGAGAACAATGCTTTATATTTATAAAATATTTTTGCCTTGAATTCAAAAATATTGTATTAATTTGAACCAATAGACAAACCACAAAAGGAATCACATCACCCATCACTGAAAGGTAGCCACCTCGGAGTTAAAATCTAGCAGCTGTTTAATAATGCACAATAGTACTGCATTGTTCATTAACTCATAGCAATACTCCTTATGAAAAGTGCTACAGAATCTTGAATGTGATTTGGGACCTTGCTTTTATTTCTCAACTCAACTTCCTCAGCTGTACAATATTTTGTGTGTCCATAGTCATCATTTATTAGGGCAATGAATCAAGTGCTAATTCAGAGAGAAGACTTGAAGACAATTCATCAGGACAGGATTCTTTTCATCACAGGGCACTGGTTCACAGTGACTCAGAAAGAAAAGTGCTTTTATAATTTCCTGCAGTAGGTAGCTGTCCAATGAATGTTTATTATGGGAGAATTGCATTGGCATGAAATTGATAGGAAAGGTTTTCTCTCTCTAAAGCCTGGTTTACTCACAAAGGTGCACCAGTTTAACTAAATTCATGGCTGAGGTTTGGGGGTGATTCCCAAACCTGAGCCATTCTTAGGTGACAAATCTGAGGAATTGTCCCAGATTGAGGTGTCAGAGGAGGTTTTGGAACAAATTGATAAACTTAGCAGTAACAAGTCACTGGGACCAGACTGCATTCATCCAAGAGTTCTGAAAGAACTCAAATGGAAAATTGCAGAACTATTAACTGTGGTTTGTAACCTATCGTTTAAATCAGCTTACGTACCTAATCACTGGAAGATAGCTAACGTGACACCAATATTTAAAAGGGCTCTAGAGGTGATCCTGGCAATTACAGACCGGCAACTCTAACATCAGTACCAGGCAAATTAGTTGAAACTAGTAAAGAATAAAATTGTTAGACACATGGATGAATATAATTTGTTGGGGGAAATCAACATGGTTTCTGTAAAAGGAAATCATGCCTAATCCACTAGAGTTCTTTGAGGGGGGGTCAACAAACATGTGGACAAGTGGGATCCAGTGGATATAGTATACTTAGATTTCCAGAAAGCCTTTGACAAGGTCCCTCACCAAAGGCTCTTCAGTAAAGTAAATTGTCATGGAATAAGAGGGAAGGGATTTAACCAGGGATTGATAATTGGTTAAAAGACAGGAAAACAGAGTGGGAATAAATGGTAAGTTTTCTGAGCAGAGAGAGGTAACTAGTGGGGTTCCCCAACGGTCTGTCCTGGGACCCATCCTATTCAACTTATTTATTAATGATCTAGAGAAAGGGGTAAACAGTGAGGTGGCACAATTTGTAGATGATACCAAACTGCTCAAGATAGTTAAGACCAAAGCAGACTGTGAAGTGCTTCAAAAAGATCTCACCAAACTAAGTGATTGGGCAACAAAATGGCAAATAAAATTTAATGTTGATAAATGTAAAGTAATGCACATCGGAAAAAATAATCCCAACTATATATACAATATGATGGGGACTAATTTGGCCACAACTACTCAAGAGAGAGATCTTGGAGTCATTCATTGCTGATAGTTCTCTGAAAACATCCACTCAGTAGGCAGCGGCACTCAAAAGCAAAGAGAATGTTAGGAGTCATTAAAAAGGAATAGAAAATAAGACAGAAAATATCTTATTGCCACTATATAAAACCATGGTATGCCCACATCTTGAATACTACATACAGATGTGGTCGCCTCATCTCAAAAAAGATATATTTCCCTTTTCTGAACCTTTTCCAATACCAACAAAAATGATAAAGGGTTTGGAATGGGTCCCATATGAAGAGAGATTAAAAAGACTTGGACTTCTCATCTTAGAAAAGGGAAGACTAAGGGGGGATATGATAGAGGTCTATAAAATCATGACTGGTATGGAAAAAGTGAATAAGGAAAAGTTATTTACTTATTTCCACAATATAAGAACTTGGGATCACCAAATGAAATTAATAGGCAGCAGGTTTAAAACAAACAAAAGGAAGTTTTTCTTCACTCAGCACACAGTCAACTTGTGGAACTCCTTGCCAGAGTATACAGTGAAAGCTAGAACTTTAACAGGGTTCAAAAAAGAGCTAAATTGACTCGTGGAGGGTAGGTCCATCTATGGCTATTAGCCAGGAATGGTATCCCTAGCCTCTGTTTCTCTGGAGGTGGGTGACAGGGAAGGGATCATGTGAGGATTACCTGTTGTGATCCCTCCTTCTGAGGCATCCGGTATTGGCCACTGTCGGCAGACAGGATACCAGGCTAGATGGACCTTTAGTCTGACCCAGTATGGCTGTTCTTATGTTATAAATCAATGCAACATCACAGCTTACTTAAACCTGAGTAATGTTCTGTGGAGACAAGTCCTAGGAGAGAGAATTCCTTCCCTACTCTTCCCTTGTTCCTTGTAGGTAATAAACTGCTACTAGCACTTACCAATACCAGATTAGTACTCTGGCCCACCTTCTCTCTGCCTGCAGCAAAAATATTGGGGATGGAGAAGAGAATCATACTCCTCCTTTTGCCTTTGTGTATAGGATAGGCCCACGATCTGACTCAAATCATTTACCTACGTTTTTATAGTGAAGGCTACTCAGATTTATGAGGAAACTTGACAAGAGTTTTCTAAGAACTAAAAATGTGACTCTTAGGCAAATGTGAAAACAATTTACAGTCACTATGGATGACCCTCAGGGGACCCATAAAGCTAAAGTGTAAAGGTGCATATATGCAACAGACTCATGTACAATAAATGCTTTAAAATGTCTTTCTCACTCCAACTTGTACCGAATCTCAACTTTCAAATGATCATGTGTTAAAATCTGCTCTAAATTATACCTATATAAATTCAGAGTAATTTTGCTGTCTTCAGATTTTCACCAGCATAGTTAAGAATAGCTAATGCAAATAAGCGTAGCTCCATTAACTTCAGTGATAATGCACATCATTTTACTCCATTTGAGGATCTGTCCTACTACGTACACAGAACAGCAAATGCTTGCCCTCGTCGAACTGAGGGAACACACCTACACACAGTATTGTCAATTATATGTTTACCAAAAGGCTTCTAGTGCCCCCCACCAAATTAAAAAAAATAGTCTACTCTGTTATGTTTTTACAGGACAAAAGTTAACAGGCACCAGCAGAAAAACTCTTGGCAAAAACGTAAAGAGTTCTTTCATAAAACAGGTTCAGTTTTCAAAACATTATTTCTGGAACGGTACATTTAACTGTGTGGCTTTTCTTGGTAAGAAAGCTTGTCCTCTAGGAAATAACCAAGTTTTTGAAATGATTGTGTGTATGGAGGAGGAAAGTGCTTTGAAGGAACAATGAAAACAATATTATCTTTTCAGTACACCAACTTCCTTCCAGATTTTTTCCACAAGCAGGCAGAAAAACCCACACACAGCGGTATGCTCATGACAAATATTTAGTATATTTAAATAACTTCTGCACTTTGATCACTTCTATACTAAAATAAGAACATGCTAATTTTTACACATATTTTTGGATTATTAAAATACAACTTAAAAAAAAACAAGTCTGAACATATAGTGTATTACACCCTGAGTGTCACCATGGACCTGAGAGTCTATTCAGTTGCTTCAGCTTTATGCCAGTTTATCTTAATGAAGCCTCCTTACTGTAAAAGTAGAGTAATATAGTGGTGAATCAAACCCAATGACTTCATCTAAGCTTGGGAGCATGTGTATAAATTTCCTCTTATGATGATGAAACACATATATTCAGTTAATAAGCTAAATGCAATTACTATCTCCATGGGAGGGAAGGCTCTATGCTCTCAATTCAAAATTGCCTTGTCTTTAAAAGGTCTGCTTACCAACACATTCACTGCCAGCCAAATCCACCAGTTGTAGCTTAGTTTTGATGTGCTTCAGTTTTTCCACAGACTGAAACTGCACTGGTGAAGAGGCTCTGGAAGGAAAGATGAGTTTATCGTCTTTCATTTGTTGAGGAAAGGTGCAGAAAAGCTCTTTACTCCGCCTTTGACTAGACTGTTCATCAGCCCATGGAGGAGCTGGATGATGGAAACAAACAAATGAGAACATTGTTTTTAACATAATAAAATGTGAAGCAAAAAATGCAACAATGATAGGTTAAATCCAATATCTCCTGTTTCACATAATTTTGTGGGTTGTAATTAATGACCTAGGCAGATTGAATTATTCAGATGCAATGATAATCTTCACATAATATCTTGCTCTATCTTATTTCAGATCATTGTTAATCAGGCAGGAGACACTCATTAGGAAGTAAGGCTTGTTTGTTTGATTGATTTAATACTAGAAGATTTACATGGCCTTGCGTGGATCCTTAACTCATTTTTTTTTTTTTGGGGAAAATAAAATGTAAAGGTACATGCTTCATTTAAATCATTGCTTTGGGGTGAGGCTGGGGATAAGGGGTTCAGTATGCAGGCTGCCCTGGGGAGAGGGGACTACCCCAATCCGCTCTCACCACAGCAGCTTGGGGCCTGGTGAAAAGTGCCTCTCCATGGGTACTCCAGCAGGCACAGCCAGGAGAAGGGTTCATGTCCTTGGCTGGGGCAGGACCAGGTGTGTTTGCCCACTGTGTTCACCAGAGAAAGGAATGCACTTCCTCTTTGCTCCCTGGCGAAGGAGAACAGCCTGCAATATCACTGTACAAATTGAGGGAAGGGGGGACTAGGGCATGAGAGGCTTGGGGGTTGGGGTAGTTCCACAGGGAGGAGTTCCCCCAGCCAGCCCCTTTCACCTGCTTGGTGATTCTCCCTCTTTTCTGTATGGTTTTATGAGAAACAATCCCATTCTAGGCACATCTCATTTTCCTGGAACAACCAAATTCTAACCTTGCTTTAAGTTACGATAAGAGGAAGCTGTATACCAAATATGTTGCTCCTAACGCTTACCGTTTAGAAGTTTTTGAACAGACAGACAGATGGACAAACTCTCTCAAAAATAAGGTCACCAACAGCTCCATCACTATATTAAACACCATACTTGTATGGTAGAAAACAGAAAACTTTAAGCCCCTTTGCTAAGATACTATTACGAATATGCAGCTATGTTTCTGATTGACTGTTCATAGAATCATAGAGCTGGAAGAGACCTAAGGAGGTCATCAAGTCCAGCCCCCTGCCTGTTGCCTGGCAGTGCTCCTTCTGCTACTGCTACTCTGGCCAGAACTGTTTCTCTTGCTTCTGTTGTCCCACCCTTGGCTGCCATTCCCTCTGGAATTTTTGGAATGCCTCTTTTCTCTTCCATCTCTGCCTAATGAACCATAAGCCACTTTAACAGTACCCTTACTTATTGTTCAGGTAGGTCATCTGTGAATTATTCTTTATTTGCATAATGATATTGCTTAGCAGCCCTAGTCAAGGATCTCATTGTGCATGGTGCTCTATAAACACAGACAAAAAGATTGTCCCAGCCCCAAAGAGTTTAGTAGTCCTGGCCTTGGCTATGTAGCCACAATGGAGGACCCCATGCACTGCAAGACATCCTGCTGCTTATCCTTAGCATTCTGGGACCTGATCTGTGCTAGGGGGACTAGCTAGCTTCATTTCTGACATCTTGACATTCTTCAATGCTAGCTTCATTTCTGACATCTTGGTTAAGTGAGCATCTCTCCCCCAAGCAGAAGGAATCTATGCAAAAATATTTTCACTGGGCAGTTTAACTTTGACTTTCTCCTTCTGTTTCTTGCCTTATTCTTTCTTTTCCTAGTCTGAAGTGGAATAGCAACTCACTCATGACAGCACATGTCATGGAGACAGAGCAACTGTGTTGGCTTACATGGAAAAGAATGCTTCAGGCAAGAAAGCATGAAAGTACAATTTCTTTCTCCTCCTTGCTATACGGCAAGAAGTAAAAGCAGCCCTTTCCCCATACACACAACAAAAGCTATTGACGCAAAATCCTAAATAAATCTCAGCCAGCTCTCATTTTAAGTTCCATTTTCAAAGCTTAACTGCCACTCCTTAGCTTCCAGATATCATCTACTACTTATTTCTTCAGTGCCTTCCATTTAGCAATCTGCTTCACCTACGTCTTAAGCAATGTGTATCTCTTACTACAGAGGCAGATCTGAGTATCACAATTCACCCTGAGGTTCTATTTTGCAGTGCTTCTTACGTACCATAATACTCATTCAGCTATTGTAACTCTTATTTTGTGATTCTGAAACTTGAGAGTTCTCCATCCATCACCATATGGCAGAAATTCCTATTTGGCCTTGCTGTGAAGCTTCAAGAAGGGCGGTGCAGTAATTAGCATAGTGTATGAGCTACAAATGACAACAAGAAGCCTGGACATTACAAGATGGCTGTTGAGTTAAAATGGCTGGATTTTTGTCTAGTAATGTCTGTCTGACTGACAAGGATCTGGAGCTGGATAGATCTAACATCTGGGACTGGTGGAGCTGCAGCATCCAAACTAGCTGTGTCTTTTGGCAGCGGCTGCAGGTAAATGAGGGCACCGTTTGTTCTGTTTTCCTAATATCCTCTGTTTAATTTCCGATAGAGATCTGGAGAAAAAAAGTTTAAAATATTTTCCACTTCCTAAAACCATATTGCTGTTGCAGGGTATGAAGGAGACAGACCACAGTGCTACAAATGGAGAGTCTAATTACAATGTGAACAAAAAGAAAAGGAAACAGTTAACCCCTCAAGAGCCAGAACTACTCCTAACGCAAAAGACTGGCATACCTATATGGGACCTGAAAAAGCAAGAAGGGACACAACTGTAATATAAGAACATAGGTTTTGCCATATTTGATAAGATCACTGATTTGTCTACTCTGGCAGGGACCAACTATAAACCTCCTTGATGAACCTAGCTAGTTGTGTAAAGGAGAAAATCCTTCCTGATCCAGCGATCATCGTTTGCCCTGAAGCATAAAGTTTGTTTGAGCCCTGATCTTACCACATATGACTAAATAATTCCTTGTAAAATTATCTAGCTACACTATTTGATTTGATGCCTGTTAACCAGCAAGAGAAAATTGTGCTACTACCATGCCATAGACTGTTTCACATTGTAAGTCTATAAGTGCTACAGCAGTGTGTGAAAATTATCACACAAGGCTAACACCTCAAACACAGCAACAGTAAGAGTCGTTCAAAAAAGTGGTCACAAAGATTAAGCAGAGAAAAACAGGGATTTAAAGATTGTAGAAAGACAGCCAGAAGAGAGAAAAAAGCAATAAGAAAATCCCTCAACCTTGATAATGCATTTCTGACACAAATGTTTCAACATATATTTTAGCACTATCCTACTTACCAAAGCTGTCTGCAGAAACTGCCTTCGTGGTTATGGTCAATGTCACTACCAGATGAGAGCGAGAGGAATGAGCATGCACCAGAGTTGGATGTTTGACCCTTAGTTGCAGACATCTGTCAACTAGCTGTAAGAATTCCACAGCATTTTCAACAGTCCTGGCATACAAGAAGGAAAAATATGAGGTTTGCCTGATTCAGTGGGAAGTACAGGTTAAAAGGAAAACTTCCACTGTATTTTATTTAATGTATGGAGAACCCAATGAGACTCAGTGGGCCAGTACATTTGAGATGAAATGTTATCATAAATGAAGATCAGTTTTTATTCAAAATGTCACGTTTATTTAGATTCCAGATAGAAGTGGTGGCCTTTCTCAATGGCCCTCCTTTAGTTGTTTGGGTTTGTTTCTCATTGTTCACTTTTTTGGCTTAATTATTAATATAGTTGGTTTATGAATTTGACTTTTTTGTTGCTTTCACTGTAATCAAGATATAAATACTGAATACTTGATTGATTTAGAGAGAAACATTTTTAAATAGGTCTATCTAAACCTTTCAGCACCTTTGCCATATACTAAAAATTAAAGAAATAAATAAGACCAGTCACCTCAAGAACTGGAAGAACAAAGAAAACCCATTCCAACCAGAGTTTCCAAACTTCATGCACAAATCCCAGCCTGGAGTGCACCTTTCCCTCCCCAAAGTCGGGGAAAAGAGATGGATCAACAATTAGCCAGATAGAACTATTGATTAAATACATATAATGGCTATTTTCAACCCTTAATTAAGGCCAGATTTTAAGTCATTCAGATTCCACACTCTGTCAGAAGATGCCTGGATGGTGCAGTTAATTAGGGTGTGTCTAGACTACCTAGTTTTGTCGACAAAAGTGGACTTTTGTCGACAAAACTATACCAGCGTCTACACTACCGCTGAGTTCTGTCGACATAAAGTCGACAGAACTCAGCAGTTTTGTCGATGCTGGTAAACCTCATTTTACGAGGCATAACACCTTCTGTCGACAGAACTCTGTCGACAGAAGGTGTTATTGCCTGTAACACTGCGTCCAGACTACGGAGTTCTGTCGACAAAGCAGCTTGCTTTGTCGACAGAACTCAATGTGTCTGGACGCTCTTTGTCGACGGAAGTTTTGTCGACAGTATCTGTCGACAAAACTTCCGTCGACAAAACGCGGTAGTCTAGACGTACCCTTAGTGTGGGCTGTCTCACTTGGGAGGAGGAAGACCAAGAACTCAGAGATTAGGAAGAAAGACTCTAAACAGCGCTGAACTGGAAACAAGTGTTTCCAAGGTGTTCCTAAAAGCATAGGTGTACCTGAGCCCCAATTAGCCTTAATCCACTCCCTGTTTTTTTTCCTGAGTATAGAGTGCAGCTGAGGGTGCGCTAATTTGGGTGGAAATCAAATTGAACCCAAAGACTTTTATATTATAAAATTGAACTTTACTAGAAAAAAAAACAAAAAGTGTTGTGTTTAGCTGTAAATAATAAGAAAAGTAACCATTCCTAGAACTACAGTGACTGTAATTCCACAGAGAGGAAAAAAACAAATCCAACATTCTGGAAAAAGCAATTTTACAGTTTCTATGTGGGCTCCAATTTTGTATGGATAGTTCAATGGTCAGAAAATATGTCAGTGAATATAAATAACCACAGAGAATTAATTATGTATATTCAACTCTCTGGAATATTTGCTGTATTTTATCAAGGTTTTCTGGCAATAATATAAAACCGCATAAACAAATCTCAAGTGTTGCTTACGTTACCAAAATCCACAAGATAAAAATATTTCTGTCAATTATTTCCAGTGAGAATGCAGTTTGTTTTAATCTATGAGGAAAAAGATACTTCTTGCTCGGACTTTCATTTCTTGCTGGAGCAGCATAGAACAGCCTTTGAAAAGCATTCTGAGTGGAGTGCTGTGAAAAAAATCATGTTTTCAACAACAACAGAACATGTTGTGGTTTTGTGCTGAATTGTTCAGCATGATGGACATTTTCAGAGAAGAAAATTAGTGTTTGTTCTCACAATAGTGATAAAAGATTGTGGTCTTCACCTGTTAGAACATGATTTTTACCATCAACATTGTGAAGAATCAAGCCTTATTTAAAAAGGAAGTATTATACATTGACTGTGTGCACTGGACACATATATACACACTGTGGACCTGATTCTCATTTACACTACTCTGATAGTGTATAGCTGCAGATTATGCCCATTTTATGGCACTTATATACTGCCAAAGCAGGTGTAAAGGAGAATCAAACCCATTATACATATATACTGTAAATAAAAAATTATCTAAAAATATAAAGAACAGAAACTAGAAAGGATGGTTTAACAATCCACATCTCAGGTTTGAACAACTTAGCCTTTCTAAGGCCACAGGCTCAAATTCCAGCAGCAGCAACACGCTCTTAATCGTTCTGAGATAGATGCTAGTGCTAAGATATCTACTATGGGTAGATATTTTGGTTGACCACTCATAAAATGAAATCCCCTGTCTTCTGTATGAATATTAAGGATTTATATTTGTATAGTTTGCTTTGCTCTGGTGTATTTGAAAGCAGTTCCCTTCCTTGCCTTTCTGGAAAAGTATCACGGACTTTAACAGGAATTAAACCAAAAAGGGTCTATAAAAGTTATTCCAAAATCTTACAGAATTTAATGCAGAGTGCTATCCTTTCTATACATTTTTTTCTATTATCCTATTTTATAGAATTTTAGAATAGTCTAAAATGTTTACAAGATTATCATATTCTATTAATTTCCATAGGGCAAGTCTTATAACACATCTACGGAGGGATAATGGTATATAAATATACAGCAGTATTAACAGCATTACTCTTATCGTGGAATATTCAAATTGAGACAGGAAGCCAAGTGTGATGCTTTTTATGTACAAGGGGAAGGAATGTGTCCTTAGACATACTCAGTGCCAACAACTGTCTCCATGCCTTGTAGCTGACACACATTGTAATAACACTGTATCATGATCTTGTAATAACAGTTTACTTATTCTGCTGTATACTCACTCATAGGTAAGCAATGGCACATCACTCTTGCCTTCTTTGGTTGTGACGACATCACGTTTAATGCCAAATACTGTTCCACAGCCATCTTTGGCCAGAAGATCAAAAATTTCATTATTATACACTTCTACAACAGAAACCTCAACCCAATGACTTCCTGGTGGCTTTTCTGAAATAAGCCTGAAAAGAATTACAGAAAAGAAAATGACAAAGCTAAAAAAAGTTGAACTAAAATCCTAAGTAAACCATCTTTAAAAAAATGTCTTATCAGAGCTGATTACAGCCTGATGAAAATACTTATCAAACATCCACAATCATGAGAGTGTGTTGACTTTTATGTTAATGTAAAGGTTGAACAACAAGAATATATATACTTAAATTATAGAGTAAATAGGTCAGAGAGAGAGAATGGCCTTGTCTTGGCTGCATTTAAAACCTATATTATCTGTTCCTGGACTGTGGGCCTGATTCTAATGTCTTGCTTCTATTGTGACCCCAATAACTCCAGGGATATGCCAAAGGATTTAAAACTCTCCAATTCCTAAGGCCTAAAGAGCAGCATGTATGAATTGTAGGGTTGTGAAGGCTCACTACTGCTAAAAGGATAGGGAAAAGTTCACAAGACACTGGGGCTAAAATAAACGAAAGAATTTATAAAATTAAGCCTTTGTCTACAATTTCCCCAGTTAAAATACTAATTCCAATATAAAAGTAGCTTTTTTGGTGGTTTTGATTAAATCCCTTTCCAAACAACATCAGTTAAACCAAGAAAAAATAACTCTTGTATCAGAATGTAAGTGTCCACACAAGGAATTATACCAGTATAATTATATTGGGTTAAATTCAGACCTTAGATTATACCAGTCTGTTAATTTAAGTGGACAAGGCTTAACTAGAAAATAAATATCCATGACCAAATGTCTTTCAAGTTCCAGAAAAATAATGTCACTCTCCTCCCTTATTTGAAAGACCCTAATATGCAAACGAATTCTTTACTCCTATAAAATGTTAGAGAGGGTTTAAGAAAGAGCAGTGAGTAAAAATTTAAACTAAAATTCAACTTTGGATTTGCTACCAAAGCTGCTATAATTGTAAATCTTGAAAAGTTAAATCTGCACAGCAAGAATATCATGTGCTGAAGAAGAGCTTTGTGCAAGCTCAAAGGTAGTCTCTTTTAGCAACGGAAGTTGGTCCAATAAAAGATATCTCACACCTTCTATCTTGAATATCTTGAGAAAAACACAAATATAACAATGCTACAAACAGCTTGCATGTTTTCCCTTTTGTATACAATGTAAAAATTGGCATTCAAACTTTATTCTCATTCCCATATTCAGCAATACCTGAACACTTCTTCTGTGGCTCTAGGAATAACTCCTAGCTCTGGCTCATCTTTTATTGAAAGAGTGACTTCATCCTCAGACTGTGGTCCCAACATTGTGTACGTCTTCCCACTTCCTGTTTGTCCATAAGCCATAATACACACGTTATATCTGAAAATCAAAAGGGCCATGTTTTCTTATGCCAATTTTTTAATAAATTAATTTGGTATTAAACCAAAAAGTATATAGAAAAATTTGCTTATTTGAAACTATTTAATTTTAAAACAAAATACATACATAAATAACTAATAATAAGCATATTTTATATGGCCTTTTTGTAGATCTGAAAACCGTTAGCTAATCTAAATCAAGCAACCCTCACAATATCTATGAGGTAGATTTTTTTTAACAGATGGGAAGACTAAGCCATAAAAATTCAACTGGAATACATATACATTTGCCACAAAATACCAAAAGGACTAAATGAACACAAAAATTCTGTTTGTGGACCCTTATTTTAGAATATAAGTAGCTAACGTTGATCTAGTTAACACCAACCTAAAGTGACTAGGCCTCAAAATCATAGCACTGGAAGGGATCATAGCACTCAATCATCTAGTCCAGTCCCCTGCACTCAAGGCAGGACTAAGTAATAATTTTGTACTACCTTTGTTCTAAAATGTCAATAAAGCTCAATCCACAACAAATTGTTGGGTCTCTCAAAAGAAGAACTAGAGACTACTGACAGATTTAACACAGACTGAGTTTTTACCTGGTTTATGTTGCTTATTGTTTGATTACACAAGGGTGGTTTTAAGTATACTGTGGTACCACTTTTATACCCAAATTACAAATGTTTTTGGTAAACCTTTATTTTTATGCTTGAACTATTTCCTTCACATTTGCTCTAATAGTTATATCATTCTTAAAAAGACTTTACTATTAAACTAAAATACCAATTATTAAGTTTAATAGCACTCAGCAGCTAAAAAAAACCCCCTCCAATTCTCACTATGATAGAGTTAGCATTGAAGGGAATACAATCAAGGAAATTAAAGGACGAGGAATTTATTTATTCTTAAAAAAATTAGCACAATTTATTCCTAAATGTTCCGAGAGTAGGTGATGTTATTTTAATCCCTGCTGTGCTTGTGTTGATAAGTTTAAACTTTGAAGTCTGGCATGTGGGGCTTGTTTGTTTTTTTCTTTCTATTTGTAGAACAGACTATCATTTCTTCTTATATGCTTACACTGAAAAATAAGACAATGTAATTTAAAAAATATGCTTAAACCCCACCGCAACCTTTTTGTAAGTGGATGTTTTGGACTCAGACTAGAATCTGCCTTAGGATATGTGTACACAGTAGTGTTATTTCGGAATAACTAACGTTATTTCGAAATGACATTGTCAAAATAACTGCTTGTAGTGTAGATGCAGACTGTCAAAATAATGTCAAGCTGTAGGACTTCTTATTCTGACTCCTGTAACTCTCATTTTACAAGGAGTAAGAGAAGTCGGAGGAAGAGTGCTCTTTTTTGGACTTCCTGCTGTGTAGACAGTGCCAAAAGCCGAAATAAGCTATTTCAACTTAAACTATGCAACTGACATAGCTCAAGTTGCGCAGCTTATTTCAGCTTTAGCCCAGCTGTGTAAACATGCCCAGAATGGGCAGATGACTTCAAGAATCAAAATAATTATGTCTGTTTCACATGTATAATAGGAAGGCTGTTCAGAAACATGACTGATAGTGTGCTTATGTTTAAATGGTATATCCTGAAAAAAGAGACAGACCTTTAGTTTTCAATAACATAACATTTTTTTTCAGGACAGAGATTTTAGATAGGAATATAATAAAAGCGGATGCTTCTCTGAATATGCACATGTAACTTGCAATGGGGTTACCAGGAAGTATTTCACGCGTAAGTAAATATGTAGGTAGAGAATCAAGGCAAAATTCTGAGCTGGGACAACAGTAACTCTAAGCACCTCTAGGTCTTCCCCTGATCCTGTGGGGTTCCCAGGTGAAAGTAATATAGCTGTTTTACCTTGTAGGGCCTAGAACAGTTGCTTACGGCCCATGTGGATAAGCAGAACTTATCACATTCAAGTTCTGTTCCCTCAGGTATTTTTTCTTATCACCAGCACATGCCCAAGACTGCCATACATAGGGGGAATCGACAAGAGCCTCTTCAGAGCATCTTCAAGGTCACTTTGAGTGACTATAGCAATTTAAGGGGTGGAATACTTGTAGCCTTGGCCTGTGGAATACCAAGGGATAAGCATACATTTCCTAATAGTTGTCACTATGCAAAACAGACGTTCCATGGTCATGTGGGTCATGTTTCATATGACATTACAGAGACAAAGGAAATCTGAATCAGGTATATAGCATCCATAGTTGAGTAGGATCGGATAAGGAAGAGGAAGAGAAAGAGATGAATGTAAGTATTCCATAGATTATTTCATTCTCACTATTTACAATTAAACCCACTTCAAAGACCCTTTTCCAAAACAGTGTAAATTTGTGTTAGTGTACAACAAAATTAGGCCCCAATGGTTTTGCTGGCCAGAAGTAATGAGAAATGTGTTTGTTTCTGAGTCGTTTCCAAATATGTTTTTAACCCCAAGATATCTATTTGATGCTGTTGCAACATCTATGATTGAGGATCATTAATATTTAAGATACTATTGAAAAAAGGTAGGTCACACTACTTATTTTAATGTATTCGTACTATACATTTTTATTAAATTATATTTGTCTGAATTTGTTTTACCTCCATTATATGTAGCACCTATATTTACTATAACTGAAAGAGACCAATGAAAAGGAATTTTTCTTATTTTTTCAAACTTGTTCATTTTTCCTGGGAAATTTTTCTAAAATAGTGACTTCCATTATTTCCCCTGTTTGAATGGGAGGAATAACCCAAGTTTGAGTGACAGAGAACAACACTGAAAATATATTTGGAAAAACACATAAACTAGTAGGACGACTTGGGAAATAATCTTTTAAGTTGTTTAAAAAAAAACCACACTAAATTTCAAGTTGGTAGTGTTCCTTTTCCTTGTTTCCTACTACTTTTCCACTTACCCATCCAGCAGAGATGTAAGCAAAGGAGCCACATCTGCAAACACCACATCTTGAGACTCAGCAGCACTATAAACTCTGAAGAGATGAAAATGGAATGGTTCATTGAAGAACAATCGATATATTTACAGTGTAAGAACACAGACTACAAAAATATAAATCAGTTGCTGTGTGCCACTAATGCACAACCCATGGCTTGCTGATGTGTTTCTATGACTGCAACAAATACAGACTGTATTTTAAAATAATTTACCTTCAAGACAGAAAGATCAGTACAGGGAAACTATTCATTTCTGCTCTGAAACTAGCTTTCTGAGTCAGGATATGAAGAGGCAAAGAAGAACAGATGAGCTACTTGATCTGTTATTTTGTTCAAGTAGCTGAGAGCACTGTCGGGTACATCCAAACCCTAGAGCACGGGTCAGCAACCTTTCCAAAGTGGCATGCCAAGATTTAACCCTCCTGTCCTGGGCTGTGTCACTCTCCTGGTAGGTGAGGAGGGGCTCTCTATACCACATGCCCCTCTTTGCCTCCTGCCCTGGGCTCTGCTCCTGCTTTTCCTGTGGAGAGGGGAGGAGCAGTGCACATGCACTTCCCCAGAAGCTGGATGCAGCACGGAACCTCAGGGCTTCTTCCTTCCCTGCGAAAGCCAGCACTAGCTCCAATCTTGGGAGGGTGGGGGTGATGCTGGATCACCAAATGGGTTGGGGGTCAGGGTGGTTTGGGGAGAGGTTCAGGGAAATGGGCAAGGCAGGTTCAGGTAGGTGATCCTGGAGTATCCAGCCGCTGGGGGCGGGGTCCCGTGGAGGTCTGGTCCACGGCACCCTCACTTTCCTGCCAGGGACCCAAGCACCCAGGGGCCAACGCAGCTTTGGGGCAGGGGGACCCCCTACATGTTTTACTCTCCCCCAAATCGGACAGCACTCACCATCTAGCACAGTGGTTCTCAAACTTTTTGGTCTGTGGACCACCTGGCTCAATGCAATCCTTTCTGCGAACCATCAGTTGCTAATGAAAATGCACTGTTAATTACATAATTACACTCGAGCCATTTTTGCTATTGCTGCAGCTAGGAGGAATGTTTTAATTTAAATTATTAAATAGATTGTTTTAGCTTTCTCATGTTAGTTTACCAAACTTTATTTTAAATAAAGTAAAATATTAGTTTATGATTAACACAAAAGGTTTCAATGTTTTCTTTATTTATGGCAGGGGGGGGGAACTATCAGGTAGGGACCACACAAGTCAGAAGCAAAAAAAACTACTCTCAAACCCTCTAAGCCTGACCCTATCTGACCCCAGTCCCAAATTCCCCCATTACCTCATCACTCTGGTCCCCACTTTCCACCCCTGGCCCCACCCTCCCATGCAGTGGTGGTGTCCCAGTTCTGTGCTGGGTCCCTGTGCTGCCTAGTGGAAGTGGGCAGGGAACCGGGGTGGCTCTCAGAGGCAGCAGGGACAGATTCCCTTACCCCATTGCTTCCTTCTCACCCAACACCACCACTGCCTCATCATCCCCCAGCGCTCAACACCCCAGATCTCCCTGCCTCTCTCGCGTGGTGGCAGCTGCTCGGGGATGTTCCCGGCCAGGCCCAGGGGACAGGAAAGCTTGTTTCCACACCTCCCCCCACCTGCAGGTCCCTGCATGTTGGCAGGACTGGGGTGGATGGAGCAGCAGTGGTGCATGTGCAGGGCAGGACCTCAATTCCGTGGCTCTGCGCAGGGAAGTGGGTGGGGAGCTGAGGCATCTCCCGGGGGCATCAGGGGTGGACACCCCCATCCCATTGCTTCCTTCTCCCCCAGCTCCCCCTCATGCCAGAGGGGCCAGGGCAAGCAGAGCAGCTGTGGTGTGCATGCTGGGGCAGGGCCTCAATCCTGCAGGGGGTGCTGTCCCAGCTCTGCATGGGGTCTTTGTGCTACCTGGTGGAGGCTGGTGGAGAAGCAAGGCAGCTCTTGGGGACATCAGCGGTAGACACGAGTCTGGGCTTTTTTCACCTCCTCCCCTCCCATGCGCCTGGAAGCCGGAGTTGGTGCTCCAAGCCTCGTGGCTGTGCGGGCTCCGGGGGAGGGGGGGGGGGAGGG